CCTTGCCGGCGTCTTCGGTGGCCCCAGGAGAAACTTTGCTCCGTTAGCGGTGCCCCTCGGAGAGGAGGGGGGGGATCCATTAGCGCTGCCTCCATCATATTTCCCCACCTCGCCATAAATCAGGGCGAGCGGCTGGGAGCGACGGCGCGATCCATCTTTGCCGGTCTCGAAGTCATTACATTTCATTAGGAGGTGCGCGGGGTTTTTATTATTTAGCAGGTTAATTCTGCCCTCAGCCAGCTCCTTCTTGCAGGAGGATTTCGCTGTGCACGGGAAGACTTCAAACGTGTGATGCAAAATAAATGGGTCCATCCTTGGCGGGCACCTGCCTCCACCCAGGACGGCTGCAGCGGTGGCTCCGGCGGGTGCAGGTGGGTCAGTGGGGACCCAAAATGCGCGCGGACACCATCTGGAGTGTCTGCCCCCCCCCGGCTCCAAGATGGGGTTTGGCACACCGAGTGAAGCCGTCGCCACCCATAGTCCCACCCCGCCCCCGCCAGCACCCCACCAGCGCTGCGGGAATACACCGGGGGAAATGATGCCGTTCCTGGTCTGCAAATATCTTCCTATTAAAATAATAATAATAATAATAATAATTTCTAAGGCAGGCGTGCATGAGACATATTAAACTTAGCGGCTGCCTTTGCTATTTGAGAGTGAGGAGAAGAGACAGGCAGTATAAATTGCATGGCTGCAAAAGGACTTAAAAAAACCCATCTCTCATTTTGATTGATATTAGCTTCACAAATTAAGCTTTAGATTTATCTAAAAATAAATTTGCTTCCGCGCTCCGCATTCTGGATGACAAGCGCTTTTCTCTTCCCTTTGTTGGGTTTGTCATCGCTGGCAGGGCGGCGCGGGAGGGAGCCGTGCCCAATTCCCCCCACCACCACCACCTCCGTCCCGCTGCCCCCGGTGTCCCCCGCCTCTGCGGCCATGCCCGAAGGCAGAGAGCGCGATACCTACGGGCTTTGCAGGTCGGGGTGTAGAAGGGCCGATGGCAAACCCTGCAGCCCCGAAGGTGGCCGAGGCACCCTCTGCTGGGATGTCACCGTGGTGGGCGCAGTGTCCCCATCCCCACTGAGCCATCGCAGGGTCCGGTGTGATGGCACGGGGTGCTGGGACACAGCGACATCCACCCTTCCTACACCCTAACCAGTTTAAACCCCGCTCACGCACAGTCCCTCGGCTTCGGGACATTAGAATTTGCACAGGGGGGAGTGGGAGGATATTGGTTTATTTCCAGTTACGCTGGAAAAGCCCCTCTCCAGCGCCAGAGCTGGGGGCGGCCACGGCGCAGAGCCCGTCTCCGGCACGCCAGGCAGCCCAGCCCCGCGCCGGGGGTCCCCCAGCCTGTTGTCCCCATGTCTGGGGGGGGGGACCGGCCGCCCCGCGGGGCGAAAGCAAAGTTTATCATTTTCCAATACCAGGCGGCGTGAAAGCAGGAGCCGGCTCAGCTCC